AGCTAAACTGCAGGCCACAAATCCCGGTGATTCCAAGGGTGGCGAGACACTGGAACACGCTGCCCAGAGAAGCTGTGGCTGCCGCATCCCTGGCAGTGCTCAAGGCCAGATAGGACACAGGAGCTTGGAGCAAGCTGCTCCAGTGGAAGGGGTCCCTGCCCGTGGTAGGGGTTGGAGCTGGAGGAGCTTTAAGGTCGCTTCCAACACAAACCAGGCTGGGATTCTGTGATTCCTGCAGCCCAGAGGCCACTGGTGAGGGTCTTCCACTAAAGACCATTTTTCTCCCAAAGCACAATGGAGGGATATGTGGAATTTGTTCTTTCTGCTGAGTACCTACAGAAACCAACCAGTAGAATCTGATGCCCTGAGGACTGCAGCTTCAAACACCAGCTTTCAGGCAAGGCTGAGGTGGAATCCCTGAGCCACACAGCGTGTTCCCATTGCAGCACCCCAGGAGAGCTGGCCAGGGGCACACACACAGCGCGCCAGCTCGCTTTAACGGCTCTAAATCACATCAACAGACATTTCACAGCACAAATCTCCTGTTTGTTTATTGCCTCGGGGCTGTTATGATTAGAAAAACATTTTATTATCCTGCTTAATGCTACAGTATTCCTGAAACAATAAAAATCCCACCAATTTACAGCATCTTCTCCACCCCCCTCTCATTCCAAGCACAGCAATGGCATTTTATCGTCCGGCGATGGAAACCACAGCATTTCCAATGCCAACCTCTCTGCAGGGCAACTGCTTTTGTCTCAAACTGGCTTACTAATTATGAAACGCCTGAAGCGAAAGCTGCTGGCAGGAGACGGTGATGGAGGCACCCACTGTACCCACCGCATGCTGCAAAGCTCTGGTAAAGCCAGGAGGGAAGGGGCGCATCGTGTATCCCCCTGGATCAAGGAGCAGGGTTGGGAGGTGCAGCAGGGTGAGGGGATACAGGCAGGGAAGGGAGAATCCCCCCACACTGCTCTGTACCCCAAGGGATGGGTACCAGAGCTGGAGGGGTGTCTGTGACCCCAGTGATGGAGGGGGATCGGTGCAGTCTCCACTATCCCATAGGGGACAGAAGCTCAGTGCTTTAGGGTCACCTCAGCCTTTTCATCAGCCCACAGCTCCAACTCACAGCTTCAGCTCTTGTTAATTACTCTGCATCGCTGCCTCTGGGGATGAAGGCGCCCGCAGCCTCCGGGTTCATTCACCACGCTCAGTGCAGAGACAACTCTTCCCTCTCAAAAGCAAACAAAGATTCCCCGTGTGAATGTGGGTGGTCAGAGGCCAACAAGCAACAGGGAGAAAGAGAAGAGGAACTGCTACAAAAATCCCCAAGTTATCTTCAAAAGCAATATTTTCCCAATCCACACGCCAAACCCTGAGCCTCAACAAGCTCCATTCTTGCACGCACAAAGCCGGGATTTGCAAATAAAAGATTGTTTCTGCAAGAGAAACCCCAAAACCTCAAATTTGCTTAAGAAACAAAATCAAAGTATTTTATTTCCCCATGCAGCAGCACCAGCCATCCCCAGAGCTGCAGGCACAGCCTGAGGAGAGGGTGACGTGGATGGCTTCATGCCCTCGTGCAGCTCCACTGCCGACATCCCTGCTCCCATGGCTCCTAGTGTGGTGGGTACATGGCCCTGAGCATGGACCAGCCTCAGGATCTCCACCACGGCTCAGCACATCAGCTGCCACAAGAGCAGGCACTTGGTGTTTTCCCAAAGCCAGTCATTTTGGGGAGGGCACAGAGTGCTGCCCAGCACCAACTTCAACAACAGTGGATACGTGGCTTCCTGCTCGATATGGTGCAAAGCCCACGTGCGGGCACAGCCCCAGCGGGGACACGCAAGCCCTGGGGAAGCCATGGATGGCAGAACAGGAACCAGGTCCTTCCGAGACGCGCTGCTCTGTAACACAGATTACCCTGCACAGCACATCCGAGTGCTTCACGGCTCAGTTCCTGTCTGCAGAGCCCCGCTGCCGGCTCTGCTGCCGTTTACATCTGCAAGCGCTGGGCCACCGAGGGCTGCCTCTGCATGCAGCCCTTGCTCTGCCGCAGGACCCAGCACGGAGCAGGAACGAGAGCACTGGAAAACCCCAGCTGCTTCCCGCTGCCCCACTGCAGCAGCCCCGGAGCCAGAAACCCAGCAGTCAGTCCTCCATGGAGCAGTGCCTCGGGTGTGGATTCCCCATCTGCATTTGGGCTCACTCAGCAGGGAATGCACGATGGAACCAACCACTTGCTTCACTTCCGAGCACCATGCATTGAGCAAGCTCTGCTGCGGGTGCTGGCTCTCATCTGCAGACCCTGCAAGGATCTGCTCCTGGTGGGATCTCCTGCATGCTGCATGGCACCCATGGGCAGTGCTGCAGCCATGCTCCTGCCTGCACCCGCACGGTGAGACCAGTGCAGAAGGATGGGGATGGAAGAGAGGAAAAAGAAGCTTCATTCACCATTAGACAGGAGTCCTTGTCACGTGGAGGCAGACAAGGGTTTGGGAGAACTGCACTGACAAAAGGCTTCAAAATGGTACAAAACAAAGCAGGCAGATGACAACACAGCCTCACACTTGCTGCCTACACTCAGAGGGCTGTGAAATCCAAAGTGGAACGTGCTCTGCTGAGGCTTCCTAATGCTTCACAAATTCACCAGGAGATGCTTCTGTGCGGCACAAATAAGACCAACGGCCAAGTGGTTGTTTTCTCTCTCCAAAACATCCCCAAGAGTCGCTGCATTTCACGGCGTTCCAGCCATCCCGCACATCCCTCCGAGGCTCAGCTCAGCCCATCTGCAACACAAACTGCTTTTGGAAGGATCTTCTTAAAATAGCACGGAATTTGCCAATACCATTTGTAAAACCTCCAGGCAGAGGAGGCAGTGGCACTATCCTAGTGAACCGCATCCTGGAGAGACCCCACGGCAGCTCCTGCCTCTGCACCCCAGCCTGGGACATCCCACCAGTGCGGAGGGTGAGATTCCACCCGTATCCCCCTGCAGCACTGGCTCCAGGTGAGGTGGGAAGGACCTGCATGGCTCAGCCATGGCTGCAGGACATGGTGCTGCTCACCCTGAGCAAAGGGCCTCAGGCTGGATGCAGCACAGTGGTGGCTGCCCTGGCTTGGCTGACATGCCATCAGATATTGACGGATGGACCTGGCTCTCATGGCTGGGCCCAGGAGTGATGCTCCATGTTCCAGAGCAGCCAGCCACTGCTTCCCTATGGAACAGCGCTGCCCAAACACCCGCACAGGCACATAACTGAGCCACAGAGCACAGGAGGCTCAGTGCCCCCCACACCAACAGCACCCTGCAGGCAGCACAGCCCATCTGCTCCCACCGGGTGCCACACGCACGGGCTGCAGCTGGGCAGCATCACAAACCCACACCGAGGACACATCCGAACCTGCACTGGCTCTCACCAGGCTCCCCACGTGCGCGCTGCGGTGTTCCCAGAAAAGCAACGTCAAATTTGGAACCCTGTTAGCACAAATCACTTCAATCCCTCCACTCGCCCTCGCTCGGCTCCTGAGCATGAGCACGGCCCAGCTGTGCTTTGGGGAAGATGCATGAGGGGGGTTCAAGCTGTGAGGTGTGTTCTGGACAGAGCCCACACGTGCAAACAAACACAGCAAGGGACGGGACAAAGCCTCACGCGATGCAAACCACGTCCTTCCCGTGGAAGGCTGCAGCCCAGCAGGGATGGTGATGCTGGCCATGAGTCCTCGAGCGTGCTGCAGGCACAGCATGGATCTCACATCCCCACCATGCAGCACCTGGGCACGGCAGGGACAGCATCGGTGCTTTGGGTGGGCTGAGGCACTGACACGGCCATACAGGAGCCCCGCCGAGGGACACACGTTGCAGACCCCAGCAGAAGCTGCTGCACAAACCTGGGCTAGAAGTTGAGGCTGATGCTGAATAAGACCCACAGGAGCAGCCGCTCACCCAGCGCTCACTTGCCCGGGAGGCCCGGAGGGATGCACAGACAGTCCCAGCCCGTGGGTGCCTCCCAATGGGCAATGTGCCTGAGCCTGCTCCAGCACCACTGTCCTGTGAGGCAACACACAGGGGCTGGGGCTGGGGCTGGGGCTGGGCTCCCAAAGGGGCGCAGGGGACACTGAGGGTGAGGAGAGCACGCCGGAAGGCAGGAGTGAGGGGGGAATGCTGGTACAGGGAGCACCCAGCACCTGCACTGCATGCTGTGCACGCTGAGCTATACTCCCCATGCTCTGCACTGCACCGCACGCATCCTGCACCGCACCGAGCACCCTGCACTGTGCCGCACGATGAGCACCAAGCGCCCTGCGCGGCCCTCCACACACCCCGAGCTGAGCGGCACGAACCCCGCACCGAGCACCCCGCACCCAGCACTCCGCACCGCGCCCCGCTCGCCGCTGCCACCCCCCCCAGCGCCGCGCACCTTGGCACCCACCGAGCTCCGGGCTCCCCGCGCCCGCACCGCCCGCTGCCGAGCGCCGCTCCCGGCCGCCCCTGTCACCTGCACCCGGCGGGAGCGGCGGAGCACACGGCCCCGGAGCCAGCGGCGGAGCAGCCCGAGCCGTCCCCCGCCGTGCCCCCCCCCTTTCCTCCGCTCCGCTCCACTCACCGGGACAGGGACCGGGGCCGCCGCCGGCCCGGAGCGGCGCGAGACGCGGCGACGTCACGCGCACGGCGGGCCGGGATCCCCGCGCCGCCCGCGCCCCGCGCATGCGCCCCGCCGCCGGCGACCGGGAGCGCGCTCGGGAGCGCGGAGCCGCGGCCGGTAACGAGGCGGGAGCGCGGGAAAGAGGAGCCCAAGGCCCCGGCGCCGGGCTGCAATGGAGCGCAGTGACCGCGGGGGGTTGAGTGGTGACCGCCGGCAGCACCGCGCACACCGGCACCACCACCCCCGTGATCCCGGCGCTCCCGGGACCCCCATCACGCCCTTTCCGTGTGTGCTCCCTGCCTGGGAGCCGATCCCCTGGGAAACTGCTCCATCCCACCGGGAGCGGTGCCGCCCCCCCCCGCCGTGTGTCACCGACCCCGGCAGCTCGAGTCTTCTGGGGTTTTTAATAGCCTCACAAGGTCAGGTACATCCCGGTACCGAGCCATGGACAGGGAAGGAAGGTGCCGCGCCGGAACCCGGCGGCGCCCGGGGCCCGCTCAGTCGGAGGGCACATCGGGGGTGACAAAGGTGCCCTTCTGGTCCCACTGCATGTCCCGGATGCGGCGGATGGACTGGATCTGCGGCTGGAAGGCCGACCACTCGTTCCAGTGTCGGAAGTCTCCGGTCTCAAACAGGTACTGGTAGCCCCGATAGCCGGGGTACTGGTACCCAACCCAGCTGTGGGGAGAGCACATGGAGCAGCGCTGAGACCCCGCTGCCGCCCTGGTGATGGCTCCACCACCAAAGGCTGCCTGGGAGCCCAGTGCTCGGGATCAGAGCCGGGAGCACAGTGGGGGGGGGCTGACAGGATCCCACTTACGTTCCACTGGGCACCTGCACGCTGCCCACACGGTCGCAGAAGCCGTAAGCCCAGAGGCTGGGCACGTCGTCCTCCTGGATCTCCATCTTGTTGCCCTTGAAGTCAGCAGACTCGTACAGGGAGATTTTGTGGTCCTCAGCCTCCTGTGGAAGACAAGAAGAAGGCGCTGGGTCGTGCAGTGCGGCGCGGATCCTGGCCAGACCCCGCTGGGTGCTTCTGCTCCTGCCCCACTCACCATTTTGATGGGGCGCATGGACATGAAGCAGTCGCTCCGGTAGCTGCTGGACCAGGTGTCCCAGCGAGGGTATTCCCCCTTCTCCAGGATGAACATCTCCCCGCGCATGTTGGCCTGTTCGTAGGCCACCCATCTGGGGACATGGGGAGGACAAGACTGTGGGTCAGATGCATCAGCAGCTCTGCTCCTGCTTAGCCTGGGGGGTGCCAGAGCCAGGCTCCCAGCACCCAGAGAGACTGGGGGTGTCAGGACCGGTCCCACCATCCTGCTCCCTCCTTTATGGCACGTGCAGAGCTGGCAGCACTGAGCAGGCAGGCTCTCACTGGTGCACACATGCAAGGCCTGCAGCAGCCACCAGCATGCCCATGGTGCCACCGTTGCTCATCCCAGGAAGCTGCTGTGAGCCCTGCACACTGGTCACCACAGACTGGTCCTTGCATTATCACTTTGCTTTCCCTGTTGCCCCAGGGAGCCCAGACCAGTGCTGCCCAGGCTGTGCAATCTTGGCACGCTCCCATGCTTGGCTGCAGAGCCGCAGCCAGCTCTGGCACTCATGCTGTTCCCACGGTGCAGGCGCTAGGGGCTTGTTCCTCTGCAACGTCACCTCTTTAGCAGTGCCAGGAGGTGCTGCTGTGATGTGAAGGTCACGAACACAGGGCTCCGAAAGCCATGGCACCAGAACAGCCCTGCATCCCCCTTGGACGGGGTTGTACCTGTTCTGCAGGCACCAACAGATATTGTCCTAACAGCAGGAGCTGTGCTCGGATGGCACTGGCAGCACAGACTTCTGAGGCTCAGCTTGGTTGAGTCTGCTTTTCTTTCCCTAAGTAAATCTGGGGGCACAGTCTCACCACTGATTTTCAAGGACACTCTGAGGACCCCAGTGACACACAAGTGCTCTGTTCCCCGACTTTCACCCTTTCCCCACTGAGTGCAGCTGCCTGCCCATCACACCTGAGCTCCTTCGCCGCTGCTCCATCCCCTCTGTTTCAAGACAAGTTGGATGGTTTGACTTCCCAATAAAGAACTTGTTACTGGTGCTACTTGGTGTCATTCACTGACTTGGTGTCACCTTGCCCAGTGTGTGAGGGCAGGCTGTGTCCCGTGCATCCTCCTCACCGCACTCGCTGCCCTGCCACCGCTGTGCTGCCTCGCTGGACACAGTGTTCCCTGGCCCTGGCCACCAGCCTGGTCCAAGGCACCCGCATCATTTCACCCCGGCTACCCTAAAACCTGCAGTCACATTTCATGGTCAGTTTGAGGTAGCAGATCTAAGGGATGCCTATCCTTGGCCTCTGCCTTTGACTCTAGTGCCCTTTGCTTTGCAAATGGTCCTGGCATCCTCCCCCTGCCCATGCCATCCTGCACCCCCAAAGGAGACCCGAAGGAAATGCCCCCGCACATCGCACTGTGCATAGGGCTGCTCTCCAGGCCCACATCCCCACCTCCCCAGGGCATCCCCGTGGCCACAGTCCCCTCCATGGCCAGGGTCACTCACGGTCCAGAGGTGACGATGACGCTGCGCACCCGGTCGAAGCCGCGGTCCGCCAGGTTCATGCACTCGGTGGTGAACTCCATCTGCCTGCCCTGGAAGTTCTCCTGCTCGAAGACGATGATCTGGGGCAGAGGGGAAGGGTTGGATGGGGACAGGCAGGGCAGGGCATCAGCCCCAGCTGCACTGGGAAGGATCTGCTTCTCCAGGAGCTGCATCCAACCCATGGCCTTTGCTGCCTGGCACTTGCAGTGTCATCAGAGCCCTTGCGTTGCTCGTCCCCAGCCCTGCTGCAGCGCCTTGGTGACACGCTGCCCTGGCATCATCCTGGTGGTTTGATGCTGGCCCTGTCATAGCCTCCTTCCCCAGCATCTGGAGCAGCTCTGGGCCCCTGCATGGAGGTGACCAGAGGCACCCCTAATGTTACACATGGGCGGAGCATTTCCAAAGCTATGGTCCCCAGTGCGCCATCCCAGTCAAAAGCTACCCAGAGCATCTCTCCTGCAGCAGCCCCACAAGCTGCTCCCCTCCTGCTCTCGGAGCAGGATCCTTCCTGCTGGGACACCAGAGATCTCCTCCTGCCCTAGCACCCCAAAGATGCTGCTGCCACCCCTCACCCCCAGCCGTGCCCCCGCGCGTGGGGAGCAGCAGGGCTTACCCTGAAGGGTTCTGTGGAGGGCTCCTCGCTCTTGCTGTTAGCGATGGGAGCAGGGTCGAGGGATGGAGCTGGAGCTGCCTTCTCCTCCTCCGCAGCCTGGCCGGGAGCAGCGGGTTTTGTGGTCTCAGACATCGCGGTGTTGGGCTCAAGTCTGCGACAGGGAGGGCACCAGGCAGAGGTGCCAGGAGCAGATTAGAGGGGAAGCATGGATGTGGGCACCCACCACCCTGCCCTCGGGTCCGTCACATTGGGATGGGAGGCTCAGCAATGGGGTGGGAACTGGGGCAAGGACAGGAGCTGCTGGGGGGTTCTTCTGCAGGCCCAGACAGTGGCCCTGCATTCACCAGGAGGATGTTGGGACGTCCTCAGTGTCCACACTCTCCTCATGCCCTGAGCATGGTCCCACCGCTGCAGGGATGCCCAGGACCAGCCGGGCCCTGCCCTCAGTGGCCAGGCTGGGCACTGCTACCACCCTAAACAGAGGGTATCAGGGACCCTGGCTGGGACACAGGGGGTAGGAAGGTCGGACAGGGTTGCTGAGCCCCCAATAGTCACCCAGTAGCAGGTGGGGGTCACCAGTGGTGCTGAGATAGGGAAGGGCAGTGGGATGCTGAGCTCAGGATGCTCCCAGGCGTGATGACCACGGCAATGGCCACGGCTGAGCCCCTGCCTTTCCCTCTCCCCGCCTTGGGTCCGGCTGCAGCCCGGTGACTGTGTCCTCTTACCTGGGCAGCTGCTGGTTCTTGTTGGAGTGAGCGGGCTGTGTTTTGGGGCGCAGCGAGGCCCCCACTTTATAGCCTGGCAAGGGCAGACCCCGGGCGGGCGCACAAAGGAACTGCCAGCTCATCAGTGTCTGCGCGCCCGCCCAGTCATCACATCCTGCAAAGCGCTGGGCGAGCTGGAAGCCTCTCCCCGGCCCCGTGCCCAGCCGCTGAACCCAGCACTTTCCTTTGTGCCCGTGGCACAACAGAAGACCTGACCCTGCCACTTTGTGCCTCACGTGTGGCCACCCTGACAGGGCATATATAGCTCTGGAGCAGCCTGGCACGCCACCCTCCCTGCTTGCTGCACCCACATGGGCACCCAGCTCTGGTGCTGCTGCAGCCAGGCCCTGTTCCTGTGTGGTGCCCACTCTGAGAGCCACACTGTGCCTGTCCCAGTGCTCAATCTCTCACTCTGAACATCACCCCGTACCCGCAGATGGCCGATGCGCCACCCTGAAGATGTCAGGACACAACTGAAGTGCTTTGAGATGCTTCAAGAGTTGGTTTGGGTTTTTTTCCCAAATGATGTGTAATTGAAGCTGACACTTTCCAAACCACCCCCATCCCTCAAAGCAGGGTTCTCTGTGGAGGATGTTCCCTGGTGTGGGTATTGGCTGTTTTTAGCCCGTTTCATTCTCTCCAATCCCCAGTTCTGCCATCATTGCACTGTGTGGTACCAAACCCCGTGCAGGTGTGGGTGCCTTGGTGCTGTCTCAGTGGCAGAGGGGCCATGGGGTGTCTGGATGGGGACACACTGAGCACGGTCTCTGCAGGAGCACATCTCCTGCACCCCACATCAGGGGACTCCTCGGGGGGACCTTCCCCCAGCTCCCAGTGAGCCTCCAGCCGCTGCTCTCCCTGTTTTCTGCTGTGATCCTGTGCATCGGGTAAATACCCACATGCTTGTTTCCCCCTGGTCCATTCCAATACCCGCAGCCTCCATCAGCACCAGCACTCAGGCTGCCTCTTCACCACTGGCAGCAGCAAAATACCCAGGTCTGCGTATCCAGAAAGCTCCGAGCCCTCAGTTTTGCCATCATCTTTCACTCCCCTCAAGTGCCAACCACCCTCTGAGCCATTGTCCAGGATCCCGAACCAAAAGCTTTCACTGATCCCTTCTTTCCTCATGGTTTTGGGGGGCTGTGCCCTCGGTGGGTGCTGCTGCCCCTATTTCCCTGCTCCCACAGCTGCCCTGTGCTGCTTTGGCTGTTCCTGTGAGGACTGGGCAGCCCAGGGATTGTCCCTGTGATGGTGCTGTGGAAGGGCTGACAGCAAGGATCTGTCCTTGTCAGCCCCCTGGACACAAAAATCTCTGCCTTCCCCACTGAGCATCCCTGCCCTGGGCTTTGGAAAGCCTTTGCACCATCCCATCCTGCATCGTTCCCTCGCTGCGCTGTCCCCTCCTGCACTGTCCCACCCTGGCAGAGGGGGACACACGGGAGGTGCAGCTCAAACCCAGGGACGAGCTGCCCCAGCCTCACTGCACAGCTGGAGCTGACACAGCTCAGCCCCACAGGCACTGGCACAGGCTCCTGCCCGGCACAAGGAGTTTGTTCTGCCCTGGTGAGTCCTGCTGCATACACACCTCCTGCTGCTGCATCACTGCGTGCACACCTCCTGCTGCTGCATCACTGCGTGCACACCTCCTGCTGCTGCATCACTGCATGCACACCTCCTGCTGCTGCATCACTGCGTGCACACCTCCTGCTGCTGCATCACTGCGTGCACACCTCCTGCTGCTGCATCACTGCGTGCACATCTGCTGCTGCATCACTGCGTGCACACCTCCTGCTGCTGCATCACTGCGTGCACACCTCCTGCTGCTGCATCACTGCGTGCACACCTCCTGCTGCTGCATCACTGCGTGCACACCTCCTGCTGCTGCATCACTGCGTGCACACCTCCTGCTGCTGCATCACTGCGTGCACACCTCCTGCTGCTGCATCACTGCGTGCACACCTCCTGCGCTGCATCACTGCGTGCACACCTCCTGTGTGTTGGTGTTGTGTGTTGGTGTTGTGTGTTGGTGTTGCTGCTGCATCACTGCGTGCACACCTCCTGCTGCATCACTGCGTGCACATCTGCTGCTGCATCACTGCGTGCACACCTCCTGCTGCTGCATCACTGCATGCACACCTCCTGCTGCTGCATCACTGCGTGCACACCTCCTGCTGCTGCATCACTGCGTGCACACCTCCTGCTGCTGCATCACTGCGTGCGCACCTCCTGCTGCTGCATCACTGCATGCACACCTCCTGCTGCTGCATCACTGCGTGCACCACAGGGACACCAGCCACAGCCCGGGCTCCACACAACCACATCCTGGTGCTGGAGCACAGTGCAGTGAGCTGCAGTCTCTGCACTGATGACCAAGCTGGGTTCAGCTGGGGCCACAGCAATCAGCCTGTGCTTAACGCACATTTGCTGGGGGTGCAGATGTTTGGGACAGCCCCACTGCAGGTGGTTGCATGTGAGCTTGCAGTGCCGGGGCTGCCGGGGCTGGAAGGAGGATGCTCCAGCTCAGCCACTCCACAGATCCTTGGCAAACACTGTCCCAAAACACAGCCCTACCTGGGAACATGGGAATTGCCACCAGGCCCAAGAGCCTCCTTTCACTGCTGCCCCATTGCTGCCCTGCTTGTGGGTGCCTCTGCAGAGTGCCAGCCCCTGGAGCCCTGCATGCACCCATCATGACCCCGGGATGATTTGAGAGCAGTCACCAGGAGCAAAGCTTGAAGGTATTTAGGTACCCAAAACGTGGCTGAGGCAGGATTTTCCCAGGTCCCTGTGCAGAGGCAGGAGGAGGCTGCAGCACTTCCCACGTCCTGATCTGCATTGCAGCCCCCCCATGCCTTTGCAAACCTGCCCCTTGCTCTCCTGCGCCCCATGCCCCCGCTTACTATGATGCTCTATGGTTGCTGTGCTCAACCTGCAGAACAGCTGGCCCTGCTTTCACAGAGAGCTGCTCTGCCATAGCAGATGGAGCTGGAGATGCAGCTTTCCTCCTGCTTCCCAGCAATGCAGGTGAGGAAACCTCCCCCTCCAGACAGGGCATGGGCAGAGTCTGTGGTCCATGGGGTCAGGGCAGCAGGAGCTCTGGCGTCCCAGCTCATCAGCATCGCTGCAGCATCGCCTTTGTTCTGCCCGGTCCCTCCTCCTGCCATGTGCTGAGTTAGGGGTTTCCATAATGCTCCCCTGGGCTCTGATCTAGCTGCAGGCTATAAAAACCCAGCAAGGCTGCTGGACATGTCAGCCCCCGGGCACCAGCGAGTCAAACAGGTAAGCACAGGAGCCTGGAGGCACCACATGGATAGGGGAGGATCTGGGAACCGGGGCTGGGTCCTGTGGCCAGGATGGGAAACAAGGAGATGGGAAGCAGCTGGGGACGGGCTGTGGCACTGCTCATACGTGTCTGCACTAGGAATGGTGGTGGGGGACCAGGGGACATCGCTGGCCATGGCAGGGTGCTGCTACTCAGCATGGACTTGCAGCAGCCTCTGCAGTGCTCCTGGCTCTGCTGGATCACTGGAATCTACTGCACAGGGATCGGCCTGGACAGATCCCTGGCAGCAGGGAGCAGGAGTCTGCCCTGTCCCGGCCCAGGAAGCAGGAGTGTCCCTGGGCACGGGCAGTGTGCTCACACTGCTGCAGTGATAGAGCATGCAGGGTCTGGGCAGGCTTTAACGGTCCCATTCCCCTGGCAGAGCCATCATGACCCACCACAGCAGGAGCTCCTCTGGACTATGGAAGGTACGGGAGCATCAGCAGGACTGGTGACACCTCCTGAGCCCCAGGAACCCCTGTGCATGGGGCTGCAGTGTCTGCCTGGGGCCTCTGCACCACGGAGCCCCCTGACTCCCTCCATCCTCCCCAGATCGTGGTGTGGGATGAGGATTTCTTCCAGGGCAAGAAGCACGAGTTCACCACTGACTGCTACAGCACCGTGGAGCACGGCTTCAGCACCGTCCGCTCCTGCAAGATCGAGAGCGGGGCGTGAGTGGGGACTGGGGGGGACGGACCCCATGGTCTGGTGGAGAGGGGTTGGAGGATGGAGGTCTCCAGGGTCTTTTGCCCCCCAAGCCATGGGGCTGTCTCCTCCGGGCAATGACCACATCCCTGCAGGGTGCTCTGGGTGTGAGCAGGGTGGTGGGTGCTGTGGGGGTCTCACCTCTCTCCTGCCCCACAGATGGGCCGGCTTCGAGCACTGTGGCTTCCAGGGGCAGCAGTTTGTGCTGGAGCGCGGCGAGTACCCGTGCTGGGAGGCATGGAGTGGCAGCAATGCCTACCACGTGGAGAGGATGTGCTCCTTCCGCCCCATCGCCTGCGCCGTGAGTGCCCTCGTCCCAGCTCCCCACTGCCGGGCTGGTCCTGGAGCCCATCACCAGCCGGGCTCGTGCACCAACACCGTGCCCCTCTCGGTGCCAGGACCGCGGGCGCAGCAGGCTCATGCTCTTTGAGGAGGAGAACTTCCAGGGCAAGCGGGGGGAGCTGAGCGATGACTGCCCCTCGCTGCCCGCCCTGGGCTGGGATGGCAGCGCCGTGGGCTCCTTCTTTGTCCGCTCTGGCGCGTGAGTACCCAGCAGCTTGCACCCTGGCAGTGAACAAGGTGTTGGAGAGGGCTTGGAGCAAGCTGCTCCAGTGGAAGGTGTCCCTGCCCATGGCAGGGGTTGGAACTGGATGAGCTTTAAGGTCCCTTCCAACCCAAACCAGGCTGAGGTTCTATGGCACACACTGGAGCTGGGGATGCTCTGGTGCCTCATGCCCGCGTTGACCGCCGCTCTCTGCCTGCCGCAGGTGGGTCTGCTCGCAGTTCCCAGGGTATCGTGGCTTCCAGTACCTGCTGGAGAGCGACAGCCATGCCGGCGAGTACAAGCACGTGCGGGAGTGGGGCTCCCATGCACAGACAGGACAGGTCCAGTCCATCCGCAGGGTCCAGCAGTGACCACCGGAGCCATCGTGACACCAACCGCACACCCTGGGCACTGTGTCGACCATGGGGCAGCAGGGGCAAAACTCAATAAAGACTTAGTTGTCTAAGGCACTGCACTGGGGAAGGGGTGCAGGGGCGTGTGATGCTGTGCCTGAGGACAGAGCAGGGGCCCTGCAGGGACTGTGTTCTGGGGTGGGGGGGACAACCATACTTTTCTGCCCCTGCAGCCAGCACAGGCAGCCACATGTCCCACTGCAGTCAGGAAAAGCCCCTGCTCAGCTCGCATCTGGAGATGCAGTGAGGTGCAATGGTCCAATCTTGGCCCCGCTTGACCCCACACAGTGGTCAGCCTGGCTGCTGGACCCACACATTGTCAGGGTCCCTTCAGAGCCCATCCTGGTGCACCCATGCACACCCCTGCACTCACACCAGCTTGCAGCAGCTCCCATGCCCAAGGCAGAGGCAAGCAAGCAGCTCTGCCTGCAGCAGTGCGGAGGGACAGGCCAGCACACAGCTAGGAGAGCAACGTGTGAGCCCAGCAGCTGTAAAGGATGGAGGCAAGAGGATGCAGGAGAGAGGATGGAGGATGCAGGAGGGGGGGATGAAGGGTGGAGGAGGGGGATGGAGGTGGGGGATGGAGGAGCGGGATGGAGGAGGGGGATGGAGGAGGGGGATGGAGGTGGGGGATGGAGGAGGGGTTTCCGGGCCGGCTCCTCCGGGGCGCTCCCGCACACAGACGCTGCGCAGCGGCCGGAGCGAGCGGGAGGCAGCGGCCCGAACCCCCCGCCCTGGAAGCCAGGTAGGGCCGCGCCGGGTTCCTCCGGTGCCTTCCGGGTGGGATCTGGGATGCGGGGGGTGCAGGCATCGCCGCGCGACTGCGCTCGGTCCAAGGAAAACGCTTTATCCGCTCCCCTCGCTGTTCTAATCCCCTCGGTAACAGCAGGTCCCACGCGAAGCCCCCGTCGGGCACAGCCTCACGGGCACTGGGCCGGGGCCGGGGCAGCGGCGCATCCGCAGCGTGGTCCCGGCCTGCGGGATGATGCTCGGTCCCCCCCCGGGCTCTGCCGGCAGCCCCGGCCCCGCTGACATGAACTGATGCTCCGCTTGTCTGTATCTGAATTTTATTTTTCAGAAGCCTCATCAGGAATAGGGCTCGGGACAGGTAAATGGATTCTTGCCTCATGGCTCCTGGAAGGAAATGTAGCCAAATTCTGGCTCGCTTCTTTGTCTTGAAACCACCATTTCCTCCTACACCTGATGATATTAGGTAGGGGGTTAGAGGAGAGGCTGGGCCAGCCCCCCCAGCACAGCCCTTCCCTGGCAGATGCTGCCCGGCTCCTGCTGGGAGCCATTTTCTTGCCCTCATTGTCTCGTTGCCTTTTGTCTGTGCCAGCACCTCCTGCCCCGGGGAGCCGGGAGGAGCCCGGACACCATCAGGTTTTCAGTCGCATCTGGGCTTTGCAGGGAGCTTCCTCCCTCTCCATCCCCCTTCTCCCTCCCGGGGCTGCCCAGCCTGAGAGCTGCAGACAAAGGGAGGCAGCGCCTGCGCCGCTGCGGCAGCACCGCAGCCTGGGCTGAGCCAGAGCCGGGGCTCAGCCACCGACGGCAGCGAGGGATGGGCAGGGCCACGTTGCCCATCCTGTGGGATCTGGGGTGTCCGGATCCATATCCCAGAGATCTCCACAGCAGAGCAGCCAGCACTGTGCCTGCAGCGTGGCAGGAGCACACGTGCAGCTTTCCTGCTGCCCTCACCTCCCTGCTCCTGCCTGCAGTGCTCCCCTCCATCCTCCTCCTCACTCCAGGGAGGGTTTAGCCCCTGTTTCACTGTGGTGTGCTCTGCACCCTATGTACCACCAACCCATGGCAGGAGATCAGGGCAGGCGATCGCTCACCACACCTAAGACAAGTGTTTGGTGAAGTGCTGCCTGCACAGAACTGGTTTTCTCCCCCTCCTGTCCTGGGGTGCGCTCCATTGCAGCCCTCATCCTGGCACTCACATCCCACTGCCCCACCACAGGCAGCGAACCCATCTGCCAGATGCTCGATGGCAGTTTGGTGCCTGTCGCTGCCCAGCCCCACAGCAGCTGGTTTGCAAATGCTGCTGGGACGTGCTGTCCCCGGCTGTCCCCATGCGAGGCTTTGTCCTGTGATGTGCAGCCACAATGGACCACGGACAGCAGGAGGTGGCTGAACTGCAGAGTCATCACGAACCCAGTCCCCCGGGACCTGCTGCCAGTGCAACCCAGTTAAACCGCAGGGCAGGGGCAGGGGAAGTCTCTGCCCCCAGCACAGGGACATCCATCAACAGACAGTGACAGGGTTTGAGGCATTGCCACCATTTATGGTGCAGTCCTTCCCAGTTTCCCCCCACCCTGTGAGCACAGGAGATGCCTGGGTGCTGTGCTTCCCCACGCTCCATGCTGAAGGCGTCCTCTCTGGAGCTACTCACTTCAGCAGGGATCTGGCCCTTCCATTGCCCCAGCTTTGGGCAGAGCCCGGGCACCCTGTGGGGACCAGGAGTGGTGCCAGCAGCGGTGGGGTCAGAGCAGAGGATGCTGCCTTGGGGCTTCAATCCCATAGGGATGGGGAGCCGAGGGAGGCTCTGCCTGCCCCTCCTGCCAGGCTCCCCCAGCTCGATGCCTCCCCTCGGCTCTGCGTTGCTCTCCCTTGCTGCGTTGGTTGCTTTCTTTTGCAGCTGCTAATGACTGACCTGAGGTCTGTTCACACACAGTCCCCTGCGCGGCCCCCGCGGCGGAGCAGCCACACAGGCCAGGGGGACACTGCACAGCACCCGCAGAGCTGGTGACCACAGGTAGGACCCCGGGGAGGGGGACATGGATGGTACCAGCCCCTTGCTGTCCCCTCGTGACCCGGGAGGGCTCTATGCAGTGGGGAGCCGGCCTTCCTCCCAGGGACCCCATCACGGGCTCTCCCCAGGCTCCAGTGGGTCCATGGGGTCCCCAGGACCACCTGCATGAGAGGACGTGACCCTGCACATGCCCAGCGGTGGGGAGGGGCTGCCGCCGCGCTGCCAGGGTCTCACAGCATCTCTGCTCCCCAGGGGCAGAGCCCCAGCTCCTGCCCGGTGCCTGGAGGGGAGCCGGGGCTCGGGCATCACCATCGCTTCCCCTACACGGATGCTGGAGCCGGGCCGGCTGGCACAGAGCACCCCGGTGCTGGCTGCCATGGGCTGGAGCCACTGCGGGGGACACGGCCGAGGAGGCGGCGCTGGGGACACCTGAGGACACGGGGCTGCAGCTACAAGGTGCTGGGTCCCCTTCCCTCCCGCTGCTCCACCCCAGCCGGACCCAGAGCACGGGATCCCCCATGCACCCTCCACAGCAGTGGGCAGGGCATGGGCAGGGTGAGACCCATCCCCTTCACTGAACGCAGTGTGTGAGGAGGGAGAAGGGAAATGGGATGGGAGAGGAGCTGTACCTGCTCCTCAAGGAGACACAATGGCCAGAGTACAAAGGGACTGTGGCTGTTCCCAGTGATGCTGCCTGTCCCTCTGTCAGCAAATCCCTGGTGCTTTCTGCTCTGGCAGGGCCATGTTCCAGCAGGGCCCTGTCTCTGCTCTGCTTGGAGAAAACACCTTGTGTATGGAGCAGCCAGGAGCACAGGGAGGAACACAGGCACTGAGGTGCCCATGGCATGGCCTCTGTGGGGCTATGTGGGGTGACAGTGGCCCCATAAGTGGATACAACCATTGCGACCATTGCCCACTCCAGTGAGCATCCCCTGAGCAGGCAGGAGGGCTGAGGGCAGACACAGCTTGTGACAGGCGTTACAGCCCCTTGAAGTCCAAAACAGAGGCTTCCTTGTGGGGACCAGAGGGCACTCGTGCTGCAGGAGGAGGTGACGCAGAGGGACATGGGGTGACCTGGCTGCCCCTTTGCTCAGCCTTATCTCTCAGGGTACGGTGCAGAGCCTGCTCCTGCTCCTGCAATGAGCACTGCTCAGCCACTGCAGGCAGGACAAGGGCTTTCCTCTGCTCCATGTCCTGGTTTTCCCCTCTCAGGCAGTGGGAGCTCAGTGGAGACCCAGTGCAGCTGTTGCTGTCTCTGCAAAAGCCCTGTTCTTGTAGAGCTGCCATAGCCTCGCGCAGGCACCGGCAGTGATGCTCTCACCCTTTCCCTCCATGCTTCTTCCAGCTCCTTTAGTTCCCTTACCCTGGAGCCTTGCAGTGCAGTGCGGGATTGCCTCTCTCTGCTGCCCATCTTCTCCAGTGCTGGGGGTGGGAGACACGTGTTGTGTGGGGCATGGGCTCCTCGGGGTGCAGGACGCCCGGGGCAGACCCCTGTGAAGCAGGATCCATGGCACAGGCTAAACCCTCCACTAACACCTTCCCCACCCTGGTGACCCAGACCCCTGGTTCCAAGCAGCCCCATCCCTGGGCAGGGTGCTGGGGAGCGGGCTGGGCTCTGCATGCTGCCCTTGCTCGGGTGCTGAGCACTAACCCACTAACCGGCCAGCGCATGCCCTACTAACACCGTGTCTCGCCTCCCACTAACCCCGGCCAGCACTGGCTTCAAAGGGGAACGGAAAAGCTGGGTCAGTGATGTGAGAGGTGCTGGTGCAGGCAGGGCCGCGCAGCCCCTGCCCGCAGGAGGTGAGGTTCCTGCTGGCTCTGCCTGTGGAGCTGCTGCTGACTCGGAGCCTGAACCGGTTTTATCAGCAGAAGCTTTTCAGTTCCTTTTTAAGCCAGTGGCCCTAATGTTCCCGAACCGAATTAAACTAACCCTGCTGCTTTTCTCTTCATTTCTTTTCCAGCGTGTGTGGTCCTCTAAGAGCGGCTGTGCCATGCTTCTGTCACTAACCACCTATACTAACTGCTCCTGACTTGTTCCTCCACTGCTACTAACAAATACTCTTTGCACTTTAACTCTCGGGCGCTCTTCGCCATGACACGAACAGTGGCCTCCTCCTGGAGCCCTGGGCTTCAGTGCAGCTGAGCATCTTTGTCTCCCATGGAAAGGAAGATGCTCAGGCTGGGGGGGCTTTGGAAATTTCCCTATTGGCCTTCTGTTTTCCAAGAAATTTCATGTGTCTAAATGAGGAAAAGAGCCTGAGTGGAAAAAAAGACAATGTGGAAACTGGTCAAAACAATTGGTAATGGCCATAAAGGTCCAGCAAAACCCAGGCTGCAGAAAGATGGAGGCAAAGAGCGATGCTATTGCCATGAGCCCCACCAGAGCCGAGCTCGGGGCTCTCCTGGGGCCCCAGTTCACCCGTCATGGGGAATGGTCTCGTGCTGCTCCCACCGGGTGCTCGGGCTCCTCTCTTCACTCCCTTTGTCTCTCCGCAGTTGTTCTTGTGCCTCTGATGCATGCGGGAGCCGCTGCCGGCAGCGTGGTCCTGACTAACAGCACGGTGCCGCGGCTGCCTCTAACCGGGGTTGGTACTCGCAGGGTCCCCCCTGGCCATGGGCCGGGCGGGCAGGAGCAGGGGTGCAGAGCTGTAGGGCTGGGCTGGGGGCACAGCCTGTGCTTTGCTTTCTGTCCGTCTGTCAGTGGACAAACTGCCTCTAATGGGGCCCTGCAGGGTTCAGGCGTCAGGGTCGGTGTGGGTTTGGCCCGCAGACAGCATCAGCATTAAGCTCTGCCTGTGCCAGCAGCAGTGCTGTGATGCCCGTGGGGCAGGACCAAGGCCTGCACACAGGAGTGGATGGTGGCCCTGTGCTGCTGGTTGGGATGGGGAAGCTTGACAGGACATCCAGGACTGGGGGGGGCACAGCGGGGGAGCTCAGCCAAGGGTCAGTGCAGCTCTGTCCAGGGGATACAGATCAGATGGTGTCCCGCTCTGGCTGCCTTCCCTTGGGTTTGTCTCGTGCTCACGAACCCCATGGTGAGGAGCTCCCCATATAACCCAGTGTCCTTGCCCAGTTTCAGTCCCACTCAACAGCAGTTCTCCTGCCTGCTGCTGGAAGGCAAGGGTAGCGCAGGGTCCCCCAGGCAGCCAGGTTCATCCCATGACACTGCCCACCTCCCCTTGGCACCCCTGCTCTGCAACAGCCACGGTTTGGTCTCCGTGAGGGTCTTCCTGTGCTCAGGGTCCCCTCCCCACCCAGCTCCATGGCTGCCCGACCCCACCATAACCCAGTGACCACTCACCTCCCTCTCTGCACTGCTGGGACCAGAGGGTTTGGGGCTGATGCTGCTGTGATTGATGGAAGGGAAGGCAGAGCCCTGCTGCAGGCTGGGGCAGTCTCAAGCAGGGGATTGGGACAGGAGGACAAGCTGGGCCGGGCACAGGGCAGGCAGGTTCAGGGCTCCTGCCCAGGTCAGAAGCACTGTGGGCACTGGGGTGCCCCCTCACACCCACTTTCCAGAGCAGCCTTCCAGGCTGGTGACGGAGGGGAGCAATGGGACCACCACCAGCCATGCAGATGGCCCAGAGGGTGCACTGGGCAGGCAGGACCCGATCCAGGCAATGAGTGCTGCCCATGGACCCCTCAGTGGGGACAGACCCTGGTGCCCCCCCAGGCCTTGGCCCAGGTCACCCCAGCAATGACGTGAGCAGGGGTCCAGGGATAGTGCCAGGCCCTGGGGATGCATCATCCTGCTCAGGGCACCCACACAAGGTGGCCAGAGCTGCCCCTGTTCTGCTGGGACCCCGCTGCTGCCCCACACCCCATGCAGTGGGGCTGGTGCTGGCAGGGGGCAAGGTTCTGGAGCTGCCTCTATGGTGCGAGCGGGAGCTCCACAGGACCCCACATCCCCGAGGGTGTCCCCACTGCCTGTAAAGTCTGCTGTGAACATGGCAAGTGTGCAACCACCCGCAGTCTGTGTCTCTGTGGGGCACGGGGGGCTGCGGGAGCCGGGTGGGGATGCTCTGGGGGTGCCGCAGCTCCAGCCGAGCTGCCAGGGCCACCCCAGGGGTGGGGGGACACAGATGGGGGGGAAAGGGGCAGGGCGCAGGGGGGTGTCCCTGGAGCGGGGAGGTGACCTCCATCCGCAGCGCAGAGCCCCCGGACCGGGCTCACACCGGGGCGCGGGGTCCGGCCCCGCACGGGGGGCTCAGGGCCCATGGCGGCAGATGGAGCTCGTGCTCCAGGGAAGCCCTGCCCCGGCAGCAGAAGTGAGGGCAGAGGGACCCGCACCCCCCCCCCCCCATGGGTCACTGATGCTGCAGAGACCCCTGGAGAGGTTTCATTTTCCCCAAGCTCAATCCTGGGAAGCACCGAGCGTTTGATGCCCCCAGACCCACAGAGACGTCACGGGGGGACCGTGCCTAGAGCAGGTGTCACAGTGGGGACTGGAATGTGCCTGCAGATGCGGCCTCTTGACCTGGCCTCATGAGGAAGGTGCAAGTGATGCTGATTAAAATCATCAAGTCCCAAAGTGCGCTTCTCTCTGGGTTTGATTTATTTCTGGCCACTTCTCATTCTTGGAACTAATGCTCAGCTGAGTTAATACTCCGAGAATGACCAAAAGATGGGGAGTGAAAACTGAAAGAGGATGGTGTCTCCCCATGAGGAGGGTTTAAGCAGGGTCCTTCATACCCCCAGCACTGGGTAAGGAAGAGCCTCCTTCCTCAACAGCCACGCTGACCAGCCTCTGGTTTCCTACACGGTGCTGACTATCTCAAACCTTGCAGCAAACACAGCCAAAGGCCATGTGTGGAATCATGAGCAAAGCTGAAGCTTAAGGCAGGAGATCCCGGCACATCTTGAAGCAATTAAAGTATCAGTTCCACACTTCCATGTGTGCAAACCCATCGGCCTTTCTTCTTCCACCTTTGCAGGACAAGGCAGTGGATGAGATTTGGTTTGGACTCTGGGATAAATGTTTAAGTCCTGCCTGGAGCAAAGTTGCTCCAGCAGCAGCCGGGTGAGCATCACCCCCTGTATCCCACGGGGATGCATTCCTGCGGGCAGGAAAAGCACAGGAAGAGCCCTCGGCTGCTGGGGATGGATCAGTGGGGGGGGCTCCTATGTGAGGCTACAGCCCCGCTGGGGAAGGTCTCGGGGTGGTTTGTGATGAGCCCTCGGTGGGTGCGTGGTGGGGTCCCCTGGGCACGGTGCCCCTCGCCCAGAGCCGCCCGCTCTCATTAATCCCCGGGACTGTAAAGCAATCCATAATGAGATGCTAACTGAGTTTTCTCTAAGTTGGGTGAGGGAAGGTCACCAAGGTAGGACTGGAGTCAGCTTATTGTTATTATCAATCAATAACCTATTTATTTTCCAACATTCCTATTAACCTCTGCAAGCCACTCACCGTTTCCATTTGAAAGGGCTGTGCAGCCGCTTTGCTGACTGGACAACTCTGATTGAAAATGTAACAGTGACCCGACCCCTAAGGCAGAATCCAATTAAAATCATTTTCATTTGTAGATTAATATTTTTTAACATCCCCTGCTTCAGCATCTTACCCAGGAGCTGCTGCCACACTACACAAGCAGCCTGTATCCATAGCACCATAGGAAAGCAATTAGAACTAATTAGACACAAGACAATAGGCCTGTCCCTTTATGGGGAGCAAGGGACAGGGTTCAGCTGCCATGTGTCACCCCCGTGGTGGCAGGGATAGGGATGCTCATGGGATAGGGCTGCTGAGCTCCAGGGGGAGAGGGATGGGAGTCTCAGTGCCTTGTACCACTCCAAAGGCATCAGCCCCGAGGAGGGGGGGTGAGGGTCACCAGTGGTCCAACTTGTGCTGGTGGAAGAGACCAGATGCCCTGGTGATGGGCACATCACAGCACGGCGGGTCGCATCCTTGCCCCTGCTGCAGTGCCTTTGCTGAGCACTGCTGGGGACGCAAAAGAGTGCAGTAATTGGCTGATGAAGCTTGGTCTTAACACAAAGTCTATTATTAATAATGTGACTTTGATAATAAAAAGATTAAAATTAAGTTTATGGTTTGCTGACTGCCCTTTCCACACTGTAATCATCCCTCATTCATATTCATGAACCGCTCATTAGTAACCACTGCTTACAAGCAGGCTAAACAGCCAAACCATTCAGCAGCCACCATCTCCTTAACTGCCTAACTTGCTCACTGATTACCAACATCAAATTAACTCTGCAGAACGGATCTAATAAGCTTCCTGGTGGCTTCAAACCTCCTTGAAAATTGCTCTGATGTCTCCATAGGGCCCTATTAAAAAGAATTCTTCCCCTGTGACTGTTGAGCTTGAGAGTGGGTAATGCATCGGGTTGTGGCTGTGGAGCTGCTGCTGCCCCATCCTGGCTGCCGGAGCTGCTGGGTGCAGCACCAAGGGGGTACCCGGCACTGCCTGCAATGGGGCAGCCCCATCGCTGTGTGTGGATAGCCTTGCAATGGAAATGGCTGGTCCTTGCACTGATGTGCTGCTTTCCTGGGAGCCCACCCATGGCCTCTGCTTTGCTTTTCCCAATCTGCCTCCGGAGAAGATGGATTTTATTCCTCAGCAGCAGCAGCCACCAAAGCCCTGCTGGAAGAGCTGTGGTGCAGCCAGATCCCACCCTCCCCTCATCCCCAGGCCTGGAGCAGCCCTGCCCAGCCCCTGCCTTCAGCCCCCATCCATTAAATGCTTCTGAGACTTAATTTGACTATTTGATAGCTCGGGGCTTGAGGCACAAAAGAACAAATAAGAGCGACCTTTCCATTTAATTACATCTTTTAGATGTGGGAAATACATCAGCTTCCCAGCAGTGGGGCGCGAGGAGGCTTGGTGGGGTTTTGGAGGAGCGAGAGGACCAGCCTGAGGATGCTCTACACTATAGGGACAGGTCTGGGGAGCGCAGCAGTGCCAGGCTGTGGGCTGGGGATGGTGCTGTGCTCGGTGCTGAGGATGGGGGTGGCCTTTGGCAATTAGCTCTGATTAATCTTGCAGTAGCGGCCCCGGCAGCACGGCCATGGCCATGTGGGGGAATGCTGGCGCTGAGCATCACGGGAGCGAAGGGAGCCTTCCTCCCATTGCCATGGCAACCGTGCGGGGAGAGCTGTGCAGGGCTGGGGGATACATCCCTCCCTGCAAACA